TGCACTTGTCTAGCCTCAGCCCCTCCCCTAGCCTCATACGGGTCCCTGCCAAGCACTGGACACGCCCATCCTGCTCTGGCCACGCCCCACCGAGCCCCGGCCCCGCCCCAGCACAGTGTCAGGTGTGCTTCTGCTGTGGCCACACCCCTGCCACGTGCTGACCCAGCCCCAACCTGGACCCTCCTGTCCCTGTCCGTGCCCCGACACAGAACTGCCCCGTCCAGCTCCTACCATGAGCACGACCCCAGCCTCAGCAGTGCCCCGCCAGGCACTGTCCCGCCCACCCTGTCCTCCCCAAGCCCCGCGTTGCGCCAGTCCTGCTCCAGCTCAGTCCTGTTCCAGCTCCAGCACCCCCACCCCACCTCCTCCTGCCTGGCTACGCCCCTTCCAGGCTCCGCTTGGCCACCTCCGGTGGGTCTCACCTGGCGCAGGTAGAGCTTGAGAACGTTGCTGATGTCGTGGGGCGAGGCCTGCGACAGCTCGACCAGCTCCTTGCCGTTCTCGAAGGCCTGGCACAGCTTCTCCACGCGCGTCTTTACCCCATTGACCCGGTAGATGCCCTGCGGGAGCCCAGGAGTGGGGAGGCCTGTCAGCCTCGGTCCACGCCCGCCTCCCCGCTGGGAGCGGCCTCCCCCCTCCACCTTACCTTGGTACGCAGCGCCCGCCGCTCGATCTCGCAGACGCACTTCTTGACAATGAAGGGCACGCCGTCGGGGGCGCTGCGGGCCGCCTGGCTGAAGTCCTGGCCGAACAGCTGCAGGCGGCCCTGCAGCTTCTTGTGCCCGCACTGTATGGCCAGCGTCTCCAGACATTTCTTGTGGCAGGCCAGGCAGCACTGGGGGCGGCCAGAGTGAGTGAGCCAAGCCCCAGGACGCCCAGCCCAGTGCAGCCCCCAGCGGCTCCACCCCACCTCCCCGGAGCCGCTCACAGTCCCCCCACACGGCAGCTTCTGTAAACACAAGCTGGACAGTGGCTCCCGGCTTCCACCCCAGGGGTGATCCCGCCTGCCTGCCACTCCAGCCTCCACTCCCTCCCGCCCCTTGGTTTTCTGGCCACAGCCCAAGGGCTCTTCACACTCCAGGTCTACCCCCTGCAGGCCTCGCTGCCTCAGAGCCAACACTGCCCCCCAAACCTAAAAGGGCCCACCCCATCCCTCCATTCGCCTCCTTCCAAAGGCGCCCGACTGCTCCCTGCTCCGGGCCAGACCTTCCCGAGGGCACCCCAAAGGCTCCCAGCTGTCCGTCGGGGCGTCCCACTCACCTCCTCGCACTCAGCACCCTGGAAGTAGACGTAGCTGTTGCACTCGCGGCACTTGGCGGGTGTACGGAGCTTCCGGAGCCGGTGAGTACGGGCCGCCTTGGACAGCCCCTCATGGCGGAACGGCCCACTGGGCACAGCCACCGGCAACTCAGGGGTCATGCCGTTGAGGTCAGCTGCGGGCAGCACAGGCGGCCGGTGTCACCAAGGCAGGTCAGGGCCAGGCCCCTGGACTGTGTCCAACCCCCCTCTCTCTCCAGCCCCGTCAGGGGACCCTCACCCTGCTCGAAGGCTGAAGCCCCAGCTCCACCCTCCGGGTCCACCAGCTCCTCCGTGGACGACATGGTGCCACTGGATGATGTCCGCTCAAACTTCTTAAAGTCCCCTGGGCGGGAATCAGGGCCATTCAGACTCCCCGAGCCAGGGGGGGTGCCCTCCATCACCCGTGGTGCGTGAAGCCCTGAGGCCCAGGAGAGGCAGCAGCTCCACACCCCAGCCCGCCAGAGAGCCTCCGTCACCTGTGCCAGGGCCAGTGTCCAGCCCACTGTCCGAGTCTGAGATCGAGAGCGGCCATGACTTGTGAACCTGGTGTCCTCGCCCGGCTGGAGAAAGAGGCGTCTCTGGTGAAGGGCCAGGGTGGACCGCAGGGAGCCAGCATCCGCCCCGGGGCCCGGCCAGACACTCACCCCGGCGCTCCTTGGCAGGTGCGCCCTCAATGCCTTCCTCTGGGGGGCTGCCGGCAGCCTCCGGCCCCGCCACATCACTCACGTTGAAGCTGCTCTTCCGGGCACGCAGGACGGGGGACCTGGTGAAATAAACCGGGAGGAGG